GCTACTGCTAAAGCTACACAATGAGAAGATGAGAAAAAATGTGTTGACAATGCTTTTGCACAGTCAATATGAAAAATGGTAAATAAGTCACTTCAAACATCGTTGACCATTTTTCAGTAAAACTGACACTAATTCTGAACAAACTGCAGCATCAAGAAATTACATGCTGTGGTATAAAGCAACTGGTGCTGGAACAACAACGAAAGTTATGATAGATAGGGCAGGTTTTGAAGCAGGGAGTGTGCTCATATTATTCACAGTAGGCTGAAACAGCCCCATGTTTCACTCTTCATTTGCTTTATGTATAGAAAAAAAGAGCAAAATTATTAAAATTTCTGAGGGGTTTCCTCAATGTTGCGAAAGAATGAAAAAATATGCTGAAACATGAACAGTAATATTGCTTGTAGTTCATTAAAGTTTTTTTATTGAAATATTACCACACCTGTAGTGTTGCTTATCTCTCCCTCTGCACATCTTATACAGTCATAGCAGCAAACAGGCCTTCCTTTCTGGAGAACCTTGCGTGTTCCTGGGGGACATTTCTCACTGCAAACTGACACAGGCACCTGCATGAATAAATGTACAATAATAACCATGGATAAACTGCATGTATGATGATCTTTACAATCATTTCTTAATTTTATATGCATATTTTATATTTATATGCATGAAGTTCAAATGTTTTAAAATAACACCTGGTTATAATTAATTCTTTATTCTTAATAAGCTTATTATTTGTACTCATTGTTTATTGATCACTCACCTGCTTTGAGTTTCTTGCCCAGATTAAAGAGTTATTTTGCAGAGTCAGCTGTTTGCCTGGAGAAAGTGATGCATCATAAAGGCCAACTGTCACAAACTCCACAATGCCGTTTTTTCTTGGCTGCCAGTTTATAATTTCATACTTTGCTGCTGGATCTCCATTCTCATCAAAGTAAACCTCATCTCCTTCTTTTGTTTTGAAGTAAATTTTTAGAATGCGCTGCAAAATCTAAGAAGACAGGCAGTCTGTTAATTTATTGAATCTCATTTTGTAACACAGACAGCACAACTGCTACTTTTTGTTTAAATGTAACCTCACCATGAATGGATCTAGTTGCACATTTTTCTCACATGTTTTATTACAATTGAGGATATTGTGAAGGGCATGGGCCACTGCATACACTCCTTTATATACATTGTTAAAGATAGGCATGAGTGACATATCAGTGAAACTGTTTTTAACTCCAGTAAGATCTTCATGTCCGGTACACTCTCTCGGATTTTCTGCTGTTGACTTCAACTCCTTGAACTTACAGTTAAATAATGCCTCCCAGAACTCAGTAAACAAATCATTAGATGAATTAAGAAGTTTCACATTCAGCATGAACTCCTTCAGGCCAGTGACGTGTGATTTGGGAATGGAAAGACCAATGGCACCATCCAGTATGTGATGTATATCCATTTCTGCGGTTTGAGAATCAAATATCCAAGACTCACTGCCTACCCACTGATAACCAGTCAGATTGTTGAGAGAAAACTCATGTAATAGCACATCCATATCAAAGTGGGACAGAAAGCCAACAATCACCTTGGAGGTTGAAGCTTTTATAATGTCAATGATCTTTTGAATTTTTTCATAGGGATCTGTCCTAAAAAAAGATACAGAATATTCCAGACAGATGCCCAGCTGCTGTGCAGTTTCTGTGAATGTTGCCATGCCTTTATTTCCATAATCATCATTGGTTCGAATAGCTCCAACCCAAGTCCATCCAAAGTACTTTACTAAATAGACCAGGGCTCTGCTCTGGTAGTAGTCACTGGGTATTGTTCTGAGGAAGGATGGGTACTTGGTTTTGTCACTGAGACAAGCACATGTGGCAAAGTGACTCATCTAAGCAAAAAGAAAAAAAGAAAAGAAAAGAAAGAGAGATTATAGTCACACTGACCATTAAAAATAGAAAAAAAATGTTGCACACATCCACATTTAATTTCAGTTTTCACTGTGTTAAGCACATTATATCCCTGCAAAGAGGGTTATCTAAAATGGAAAAATACAAAGAAAGCAGAACTTTTAAAGAGTCACATTTGTGTTTCCAGAAAAAAAAATATTTTTAGCTATTCTACCCACCATTGGTATATAAAATGGCCCAATTACGGTAGCTATTGCCATGCAAGGAGAGGAAGAAGTCTCTCCCATTATAGCCTGCACTTGTGCTGGTTTGGTACAAGGGGCCTCAGGTGCTGTGAAAATAATTTGATTACCATTCATCAAGGCTAGTGCAACTTTTATGCTTTGGGCAATGGAACCACAAGTATCATACATTTTATAGCCCAGAGAGACTCCTGGCAGTAGGTCTGTACTGTTATTAATCTCCTCAATGGCAAAAAGCATAGCCTGGGCGACCTGAAATTCCCTGAAATTCAAACTTCATTGAAAAAAATGAAAAAGTTGACATAAAGACAATAGATTACTAACACATAAAATACTGAAATCAGTCAGTTATATGAAAATTGAAAAACAAGATAAAAGCAAGAAATAAAAGGATGAATTGTTTTATGTCTTAGATCATTTATCTATTTTAAATTTATTTTTATAATGTTATTTACCTCGTGCATTGAAGTGGCAGTGGTTTCTGCATGTAGGTATCCTTTCTGTCATTCCAGCTACTGTGAAAAGAGAACATCCCCCCCAGTATAATGTCCCCATCCCTAGATAACTGGGGATTCTCAGGATCCCCTCTTCGTATGCACACAGGTTCTTTTGCCTGAGAGAAAGATGCCACCAATAACAGTTGGAAAAGTGCCCACCCCTGTTCTGGCCACTTCTGTGTAAATGACATGCTGTCTGTAAAAAATAAACCACTGGGTGGCATTGCAAGTAACCTAGTCTAAGTGAAACATGCAGACTTTATTTATACATTTTGAAGCAGCAAAAATGAATAACAGAACCATCATGCTTCTTCTATGTGGAACAAAAGGAGGGGCCAGAGGAGTGGCCCTGCAAAACACTACTGAATTATTGTAAATGTCCTCTCTGTATTACCATGCCCATAAATTACCATAAATTCATTGTTTTCAACTTTCATTGATTCGGATGCAATATAACATTTATCATTTCAATAGGTCCATGTAGATTCGAGAAAATCAGACGTTTGTGAGCCTGATAAAGTTAGCCATATGATTTCCTTTCCTTTTACTTCAACATTTTCAATTGGTTTTTCAATTATTTGTACAATAGGCAAACAGGAAGAAAAATTTCAGACATGTTTTTATTCTGGTTTATACAGCTTTTGAGGAGTGAAGCTCTTCAGTTCAGTTTAACTCAGTTGATACCTAGTATGATACCTAGTAGTTCACTAAGCGTGAACCATGTCAGGCCCTGGTGCTGTCCAACTCTTCATACTGGAGACCCTGTCTTGGATATCTGCCACTGTGATGGTTACTGGTCCCTGTCTCAGATCCCCTAGCCACTGAGCGTATTTTAAGTTGCGTCCTTCTCCCATATGTTCTTCCAGTATTGTTCCGACTCCATCATCCTATCTTTCAAGTCAGTTCCTTTCGCACTGATGATGTCTTCCCCCTGACCTGTCATCCTGGCTACCCCTTACCATAGCATGTGCATTGTACCTTGTCAATCTCTAACGGTAAGTATACGGTAGGCTTGCTTAGTATTATTCTTATAATTCTCAATTCTTATAATTTGCTTTGTTTCTTGTTTCTTGCATTTTGCACACCACTGTTCCTTGTGAAGTTTGCACACAAGAATTTCACTCACATGTACAGTGTACCAGTAATGTGAAGTGACAATAAAAGTGATTTGATTTGATTTGATCCTGGACAGGGAGGAATGCTGGTTTGAGCGGGAAGTCAAGGGAAGCCATTTACGTGAAAAGGGAAAGACCATCTCTGAATCAACTCTGAATTGTACTCATGGCCATTGATCATTGGTCTTTGATCAATGGTCGTTGATCAGTAGTTGTTGATCAATACAACTTTTGTAATAAACCATCAAGATTTCTATTGGACCCTATTACTACAAGACTGCTCACAGAAGTCTTACCACTACTTAATGCTTCAATCTTAAATATGATCAGTCTATCTCTATTAATGGGCTATATGCCCTAGTCATTTTTCAGGGCAGTAATTAAACTATTACTTTAAATGTCATCACGCGATCATTTGAACTAATTGAAGGCCAATCTCAAGCCTTCCTTTTTTCAATTATTTAAAAAAGATTAGTTGTTAAAGACCTAACTGATAATCTGCAGTGGGATAGTTTATTGAAAGAGTGATAGTCATGTTTCAGAACTCACCACAGTAAGGAAATAAACCTCGGCTCCTGGTGGCTTTCTCATGATGCATGTAGTGTTTTTTCTGCACACACTATGTGTTTATACACCACTCTGCATTTAATCATTAATTATAATGAATCTCTGACTCTCTTCCACAGGTTGTTTGTTAAAGAGTGTTTTTTCCTTATCACTGTCACCAGGTGGTTGTTGAATTGTTGGGGTTTTCTCTCCATTATTGCAGGGTCTTTACATTATATTATATAAAGTACCATGAAGTGACTGTTGTTGTGATTTGGCACTATATAAATAAAACTGACTTGAATTGAATGGAATTTTGATACATACACAGTCTTGGAGTCTGTCATTATTCACTTTTTATGGGTGCGCAAAATAACACAACGGAACATTCAGAATTTATCAAAACTTTATTTGTACAAATATTAATTAAGGGAAAGAAAAATGTAAAAAAAAAATCAACGGAACTTTTTACATGGAAAAGAAATTACAGATTTTGTTGGGAATATTTAATATACGATATAGAGCTTGTAGGAAGGACTATAGTTATTTGCTTCTTTCTTTCCTTCTTTCATGTAGTGAACCAGCATTTGTTTTTGAAACAATTAATTGCTGTGTTTTCTTAGATGTCAGTGGGTTTTGAATTATTTGAACAATATTTAAACTATAGAAAGGACAGATTCAATTTTGGTTTTTTTTTTTAGCAACCTCTCAGATCGTTCTTGAGGTCCCTTTACTCATCAGGTGTTTCTTTGTATTGTTTTCAGGTTTTAATAAAATAATGTAACACTTTGGCAAAAAAATGCAAAATAACATTCCATAGCTTGAGGCCAGAATAGCAAATATTTCCACAGCAACTGTGAATTTCCCAGGAGAGCTGACATAAGCAGGTATAAAGGTTAACCACACTGCACAGAATATCAACATGCTGAAAGTGATAAATTTAGCTTCATTGAAATTATCAGGCAGCTTTCGAACTAAAAAAGCAAGTACAAAACATAACATAGCCAGCAGCCCTATGTATCCTAACACAGTCCAGAACCCTAGAGGTGATCCCAGGGCACATTCAAGTATAATTTTATCTTTGTAGTAGTTCATATTTTTGTAGGGGAATGGTGGATTTATTGCTAACCAAACTAAGCAAATCAAAATCTGTATGAGAGTGAATGCTAGAACACTCAGTCTTTGCTGTACAGGTCCAAACCACTTCTTAACATTACTGCCTGGAAGTGTAGCCTTGAATGCCATTACAACCACTATCGTTTTCCCCAGCATACAAGAGATGCAGAGCACAAAAGTTATGCCAAATGCTGTGTGTCGAAGCATGCAGGACCATTCGGAGGGCCGGCCAATGAAGGTCACAGAACACAGGAAACACAGAGTCAAGGAGAAGAGCAGCAAAAAGCTGAGCTCAGAGTTGTTTGCTCTGACAATAGGAGTGTGTCTGTATTGGAAAAATATTAGGGCTACAGTCATTGAGATGCACGCACCAAAGAGAGAAAAGGAGACCAACAGTATACCCAATAATTCTGTGAACGTGAGGAACTCAATAGCTTTCATTTCACAATTATTTCTCTCTTCATTGGACTTGAATTCAGGAGGGCATTTGTCACATTTCACTGCATCTGAAAACATAAATATCTTCATGATGTACACCACATACATCTTTAAATAGACCAGTAAAGTGCTGGCAGTGATTTTGCCCAACAGAAACACAATGAGCACAAGAGTAAAGGCTAGAAATCCAGCTGTCTCACTTGTAGTGTTGCTGAACTCCCCATCAGCGCAGGTGATGCAATCAAAACAGCAGATTGGCTTGCCCTTAACAAAAGCCTGACGGGTCCCAGGCAAACAACTCTTACTGCAAACAGACCTTGGCACCTGCATTATAGGGACAATATTAAAAACAATTTACTTCCAGATTTACAATTGTATACATTTAGTGTGATTGTAAAAGATCAAGCGTCAGAACTTTAGGGTTAGAAAGGAACAGTATTATCTGTGTTGTTTTACCTCGAAATTCTCTCCTGCCCAGATGGCTCTCACACCTGCTTTCATCTTAAACTCCTGACCCTCAGGCTGGGATGCATCATAGTAACCAATTGTCTTAAAAAGTATGTAACCTTTTTCACCCATCTGCCAGTTCACCAATGCATAACGTGCCACAGGTTCACCTAACTCATCAAAGACCACTTCTTCACCAGTCTTAGTTGTAAAATTGACCTTGGTTAGGTAATGCAGTACCTACAGACAAACATTAATGTTATCTGACTATGTAACAATAGTCATTAAAAATAACATTTTGTATTTAGACACAGTAGTTTCTTTTTATGTTTACCTGCCATGGTTGTACATTTTCCGTATCAGCACAAGTATTGTTCTTAAAAGGCTCCCTTTCATCTTTGCAAGTAAATAGCATATGTAGAGCATGAGCAACAGCATATGTGGCTTTGTACACATTATTTAGCAGGCTGGCATCTGACACATCTGTGAAACGTGTCTTCACATGCAGGAGAGACTCCTTTCCAGTGCAGGCTATTGTCAGATCTTCAGCATGAGTCTCTGTTTGAGGAGACAGGTTGCACCTGAACACTGTCTCCCACAATTCCACAAGGCCCTGATTCCCAGGTACGGTGGAAGGCCTGCTGCTGGCTAGGAACTCTTGCAGTCCAGGAATGTGAGCATTTAATGCTGCAAAGCCAACTGCCCCCTGAACCACAGCGTAATTTACTGGAGAGGCAATATAACGGTATGTGATCCAGCCTTCACTCCCAACCCACTGCAGGCCTGTCACATTTTGAGCATGAAGCTCTTTAAAAAGTATGTCAAGGTCTGTGCCATCAGCAAATGCCACTATTACCTTAGAGGTGGATTTCTTTATAATATTTACCACATCTAAGAACCACTTCCTTGGATTAGTTCGGTAAATGGCCACTGAGTACTCAACACACACACCTTCCCTTTCTGCTGCTTCCAAGAAAGTGGCCATACCACCATTCCCATAATCATTATTAGTTCTGATAGCTCCTACCCAGGTCCAGCCAAAATGTTTCACAAGCTTTGCTAATGCTTTGCTTTGGTAAATGTCACTAGGTATGGTTCTAAAAAAAGAAGGATAGTCTCTTCTGTTGCTAAGACATGCACAAGAAGCTGAATGACTGATCTGGAAAACAATAACATGGTTAAATGTCATATTGAGCATTGAAGACATTTAATGAAGATTATTGCATCTCAGGAAGTTTATGTGTGCATTGAGCATGCATGCCCCCAACACTCACCACGGGTATATGGAATGGTCCCATGGTGCGTGCAATGCCTATCGTGGAGGTGGATGTGGTTTCTCCTATGACAGCATGTACGTTGGAAAGTTTGTTACAGCTCCCTGCTCCACTTTCATATCTATTCATCAAGTTTAGTGATGCCCTAATAGACAAAGGTATACTGGGGCAGGAATCAAAGATCCTATAACCAAGTGTCACTCCTGGCAGCAGCCCTGAGCTGTTATTAATTTCTTCTATAGCAAACATCATAGTGTATGCATACTGAAGCTCTCCTGGGTCCAGTCTGGACAAAGAAGAAGGACCAAAGTTTTCATAGCAGAAATAAGCAAAGAGGAAGATTATATTTAAAATATAAACAAACAACCCATATTGTAATAGGATTTATAGATAAATTATTTCATCCCAGTCTTACCCTTCACACTGTATTTTTCCTGGATTGACTTCAAAAGTTGGATAAACAGTGATGGGGTTCTGATGGAAAGAAAAAATTCCTCCAATGTTGATTTCTCCCTCCTTAGAAAACTGAGACAGTTCTTTTGTCCCATAGGTCTGACACACAGGCTTCCCTTCTCTCACAGCCAGACAGGAAAGAAGTAGTAGGTTGGCTATCAGCAGCATAGTTCCTCAGCTGAATGCTTCCTAACAAATGCTCAAAGATAAGCCTCCTCAACACTGCTTTTAATATGACTTTTATGTCACAAAGCCACAGGGACTTATGGGTGACAGCTGTGTTTATTGTCTTTGTCTCTACCAATGATATTGGTTCTGCTGTGACTGACCAGTGAATAGGGATGTTAATGGGCTTAGAGGGCCTCCTACGAAAGTAATATCTTTTCATTCAACATAACCACTCTTTATACTAAGTTATTATTGTTTATTACATATTCCATCTGTGGTTCACATTTTAACATCGTACTAAAGAGTAAAACATAAACAAATGCAATACATATTTGAATTACTGGTTTCCAGGACCAATATATAAAGTAATAAATTGATCAATGATTGTATACAAATTAAAATAAACAAATCTTAAAGATGGAGTAAGCAAACCCTCGTGCATTTATTATTTTTTAATGGTTTCTCCCCATCATATGTCTTTTTGTATTTCTTTCGGGTTTCACTAATAAAATATAACATTTTGGAGCAAATATACTGAAAAATAACCCAAAGCTTGAGGCCAGAATAGCAAATATCTCTACAGCTACAGTAAATTTACCAGGAGAACTGACATATGCTGGGATAAAAGTGACCCAGACTGCACAGAATATCAACATACTGAAGGTGATGAATTTGGCCTCATTAAAATTATCAGGCAGCTTTCGAGACAGAAAAGCAAGGATAAAGCATAGCAAACTGAGAAGTCCTATATATCCTAAAACAGCCCAGAATCCTAAAGGTGAACCTAAATTACACTCTAGTATAATCTTTTCAGTGGCATGGACTGTGTTTTTGTAGGGGAATGGTGGAGCAAAAATTAACCACAGCACACAAATCAGCAGCTGGAGTAAAGTAAAGCTGAGCACACTTGTTCTCTGAAGTGCAGCAGAACACTGAGGAACTGTTTTTGCTGGCCTTGTAGCCTTAAAGGCAATCACCACTGTTATAGTTTTAGCCAAAATGCATGACATACACAAGGCAAAGCTTGCGCCAAAAGCTGTGTGGCGTAGCATGCATGACCACTCAGTAGGCTGGCCAATGAAGGTCAGAGAACACAAGAAACACAGAGTTAAGGAGAAGAGCAGGAGGAAGCTCAGTTCAGAATTACTGGCTTTGACAAGAGGTGTGTGACGAAACCGAAAGAAAACACATGACACTGCCAATGTTAAACTTGCTCCAAACAATGAGAAAGCGGCGAGTAGGCCCCCCATAGTTTCTCCAAAAGACAGGAACTCAATCACCTTTGGAACACAGTGGCTGCGATCTTCATCCGACCAGCACTCCAGCGGACATAGTAAACACACTGCAGAATCTGAGTAGAAAGTGTCAAACATAAAAAAGTATTTTGATACACCTAATACTGAAATAAACACTTCCTAGTAATGTATCAACTTATTAACACTTTTTTACATAGTAAAAATGACAGGAAATTTTCTACACACTGTTTGAGTTGCTAATCTCTCCAGCAGCACAGGCAATACAGGAAAAACAGCAGATGGGTTTGCCTTTAATTGCAGCCTGGCGGAAACCTGGCGGACAGCTCTCACTGCAGACAGACAATGGCTTCTGTAACAACACCACAACTCAAAGGTCACAGTTTGTTCCTCTTGTAATCCACATACTGAATTTAGATTGTTCAATTTATTTCTCATTAATAATATTGAAGAAAGAAAAACATACAAACATGCATTTAACCTTCAGACCATTATTTTACTCATTATTCTGCATCAGAGGGGAAAATTAACATAAAAATAGTTCTGAAGCTGTTATGTTAACATTGTTATTGAAAATTAACATTGAAAATTAAGGATTATACATATCTGTGTATGTGGGAGAGATTGTTTTTATTTGCTAAAGTTCAATATTAAAAAACTTTCTGAATGACAGTTTTTATTAATAAAATTTGAATTTTAATCAACCTGCAAAATAAGTATTAAATAAATATTCCTTGCTCTCAAATAGACTTACCATTCGGGATTCAGAAACCCATGTTATATTGATTTCATTCACGGCAAGCTGACTTTCATTTGGTAGTGAAGCATCATAGCTCCCTACAGCCACAAAAATTATATCTCCTGCTTGGTTTCTCTGCCAGTTCACAAGTTCATACATTGCTGAAGGGTCTCCATTTTCATCAAAATATACTCTTTCTCCCGACTGAAGAGTGAAATTGACATCTTGGAGGTGTTTCACAATCTACCAATCCAAAACGAGGGTTGGTAACTTAGCATATATAGAATTCTAGATCAAATAAATACTTTTTCTACGATTTTGTAAGGTAATGTCTTACCTTTTTTGGCTCTAAATGATCCTTCCATATACATGACTGATTCATGGCTTTAGCACTTTGACCACAATTTAACAAGTTATGCATAGCATGAGCTATGGCATACACAGCCTTGTACACATTGTTAGATATCCTTAGTTGTGATACATCCGTAAAAGGATTGTTTATGTCCTCTAACTTCTCAGAGCCAGAGCACTGAATCTGACCAGGCAGCCTGGATTGAAAACTGCAGCCAAAAACCGTTTCCCAGAACTCTCTTAGCACACTATTCTGAGGATCCTGACTTGGGTTAACCTGTAAAAGAAATTCTCGCAGGCCTGCAATCTTTGCCTTTTTGATAGTGAAGCCCAGAGACCCTGTCAGTATGCCAGAGTACCTCTTAGTAGTCAAATGACTTGCTGTTATCCACGATTCACTGCCCACCCACTGCAACCCAGTCAAGTTCTGCTTCAGAGCTTCCTCCAGCAAAATGTCCATCTCACCCTGGGCAAGAAAGGCAATCAAAACTCTTGCACTGCCACTACGAATCACTTCAATCACCCTTGCAACCTCCTCACTAGAGTCAGTCCTTGAAATGGCCTCTGAATATTCAACACAAACCCCTTCCTGACTTGCTGCTGTGATAAAAGTTGCCATCCCATTGTTGCCATAATCATTGTCACTTCTGACTGCCCCAACCCATGTCCATCCAAAATATTTTACCAGTTTTGCCAGGGCCCTGCTCTGATAGTAATCACTGGGGATGGTTCTGAAGAATGAAGGGTAATCCTTTCTGTTACTCAGACAAGCACATGTGGCAAAATGGCTGATCTGAAATGAAGTAAAAGAGAAAAACAAAAACAAATTGACAAGTAAGTGGGAAGAGATTTACAGTTGGGTCTTCAGAGACAAAACAAAATGTTGTTTCTGGCTTGTAACTAAATTTAATGTAAAGCTTGGAAGCCTTAAATCTAAGATTCACATAAACCTGTAAGTGACCAAAAAAGTTACTAAACTTCAATTTTTGGAGAGAGTCACATTATAAAAAATTGACACAAATATTATAAATACTTACTACTGGTATTTGGAAGGTCCCACAAATTTGTAGCATCACAATGGTTGAGGAAGACTCAGAAGCTCCAATGATGACATGAACAGATGAATGACTGCTGCAGGTTTTCTCTGCTGTCCTTTCCTGTCCATTTAGTAAACCCATCACTGCACGTGTTGAAGGCAGTGTTGAACCACAGCTGTCAAATATCTTATAACCAACTGAAATATTAGGCAGTAAAGTGCTGCTATTGTTGATCTCTTCTACTGCAAAAATCATTGTTTGGGCAAAACGAAATTCTCTCAAATTTATCCTGAAAAGAGTAAAAAAAAGTGTTTTAAAAAGTGTAATGTAAAGCTCTTCAAGTCATGAACCCTGCAAAGGGAAAAAAGACAAACCTGGAGCATGTGAGAGTTTCTGGAGTATGAGTCAGGGAGAACGAAGGCTTTGAGATTTGGCTATGGATAGAAAAAGCTCCTCCAATAGTAATATCCCCTTTCTTAGTCAAAAGAGGAACCTCTGGACTTCCCAGCATTTCACAGAGAACAGTATTTTCCTCTGCTCTGCAGACTCCCATAAATAAACCCCAAAATAACACTCTGAATGTGCAGTCATACATCTTTTACAGACAACCACACTCATGCATGTACAGCCCTGTACTCTGTTTTGATATTACTGACCAAGCATGTGTATTCTTTAATGGGCAGAGCTTTATAGAGCTATAATTGATGAAGCCTGAGGTCCTCCTATCATATCACAGTATGACATACATTGTCACACTGTTTTGCGATTTTTATGGGAGACAGCTTTTTTTTTTTTGAGTCACCCTTACCAGAAAATGCATATATTTTAAGCTGTCTTCTTTGGAAACATTTGATATAATAATAGTGTAAATTGTTTTGTAAATTATGTAAATTGTTATAATAGTGGTAATTGAAACGATTTAATAATTTAAAAACATTAAATTTTTGAATGACACAAGACTCCACGTGGGACCATACAACTCAACACACACAGAGCTAGATATTCTAATTCAGCTGCACAGTTTTCTTTATTAATTGATGGTTCAAAACAGGAACCATTTGGCAGTGTGATAAAATCAACACAATTTAAAATAAATACTTAATACTTAAACAGCTGTCAAACTTCTATTTAAGATATTTTAGGTGGCAACATTCCATAACCTTTGTGGTAACTAAATAAAGACTCTAAACAAGACATATATGTAAATATTTGTTTTGTAAATGTGAGGGGCTACTAGCCCTGCTATGTAGGGGTAGAAGGGCGCACAGGCTGCCTTGAACGACTAGCGGGTGGTGGGATCTAAGTCCGTACCCCCCTCTAGCGCGATTGACCCGGACACTTACTTCAGTAAGAATGGGGTTAGTTACCTGGCAACAGTAGGCACAAAAGGAGGACTCCAGGCCCGGACCTGCAATGATAGCAGCGCCTGCACACGGAATACTAGCACGGTCCCACTTAACTCCGTCGTCCTGTGCCTAACCAAATAACTCGGGTGCCCCTACTCCAAGGCAACCTGGGTCGGACAAAAGCATTCAACAACGACTTTTTAAACCACGTGGCTCTTTTTATTTATCTGGAGAGCCCCCCAAAAAACCAAACTTGGTTAACAATGTCCACAGGGCCCTGGAGAGCAAAGGGAAAACAGCAAGGAGCCTCCCCAGGACCAAAGAAATGAAAGAAATAAAATGAGGTAAAATAAATCAAAACAGACTGGTGAGACCCAGAGTTGGGAGTCCTCGACTCCACACAACCCACCCTAGTCACAGGAAAGACACTCACAACACAGCAGAACAGTAAAAGTTAACACAGCAAATATTCTGTCTAAAATGGTCGACACAGTCTCATCACATCACTTATAATGTCCGACACACCAAAGGAACATTTTCAGTCTTTACAGTTCACTCCAGTAAATTGTCTCTGGGGTGGGACGGACAGATAGTTCTAGGGGTATGTGTCATTAACCGGAGTTGCAGTCTGTTAGGCTGTCCAGAACTTCCACAGCCGGAATAGAATGTTCATTCTCTGGTCCACATCAAAGCAAGGAAATAAAACACAGGAACTGTACCTTTGCCCCTCCTGAAATGGAGCGTAATGAACCCACGGGTAGGTGAAACTTTTACACACAGCCAGCTGAAGCAGGGTGAACAACCGGAGCGTCGTCTGGGTGGCAGGGTACTCCAAACACCGCCGACATCGGGCCCAAGATGGCGGTCCCGCGGGCTAACGGAGCTACGGTAGTCCCCAGGCCGTGCGAAGTGAGGCCGCCCAATTCCTCTCCCGGAAACTCGCTGGTCCTTCGCCAGACAGCCAGCCGTGCTGTCTCGCTTTCTAAACGTTCTTGTCGCCAAACTCTACTGGCAACGCCGGGAAACTGAGGCCGATTGGAGGGGAGCGGCCGCTAGCCTTAGCTCTCGATTAGCCCCTCTGCTAGCGCTATCTCCGCCGACACTTCGCCCCGACGTTACACCCGTAAGGCCGCTGTAGCCGGAGTCAGAGTGCATACACGGACGGAAACCCAGCCTAGACTCGCTGCGGTACCGTATACTGTCTCGCTAACCTCCCGTTTATACTTTGTTCGGGTCTCTTCCTGACCGCGGCCCTTTCCTAGCGTCTCTTCTCATCCGGACACACGTGTGCTTTTTTTCCTTTTTCTCCGCTCGTCTTCTCTCCCACTGCGCATGTCCGTCTTCTTCACGCTACGTCACTCCCTCTTGGCTGCTTCAGGCTGTAAACAACCCCGTGACCGTTTTCTAAGGGTTGTAAATATGTGCCCTCACATTTCCCCCCAGCTAAACCCTGCCACACCAGCGACGACTCAAGCGGTTCATCCCTGTAACAAACACAGAATAACACATATTAACTCACATGTTCAGTAACACTCTATACCATTCACATATGACTCGCATTACATTGCAAATGAGCATAACAGTAATCCATGGCTTCATTTCGTAACATAATCTCTATACCTCGCAGGACGTACCCCTCGGGTTCGCCTCAAAGGGCGTTCAGACTGCAAAACCTCCCCTCGCCCCTCGTGCACCTCATCACTCGCCTCTGAGGCCCCATCGCTGTCCTCTGGCTCACTTAGGGCCATAACTGGTTGTACCTCCCCCGCTAAATCCGGCTCTAACCCCTGGGCGACATAGTCGCCGATCTCGTCCGCCCCTGGGGCAACGAGAGCGCTCGGGTCCGACTCACATGGGAGTGGTAGAGCACAAACCCCCTCCATGAAGTCGGTATCGGACTCCACTTCGGCTGGCAGCCTGTTGGCCTGCTTCGGCTGCCATGTCGGCGCTTGAAAGGTGCACAATTTGAGCTGATCCCTATGCACGACCCTCGTCGAGCCACCCTTCTCTGGCTTGACCGTGAACACAGGAATGTCGGGGTGGTTTTGTTTCACCACCAAATAAGGGTTGGGTTCCCACTTGTCCTGGATCTTATTCCTGCCTCTGGGCTTGTGGTTGCGCAACAGCACCCGATCACCCGACTGAAGCAGGGCGCCGCGGGACTTCCGGTCGTAGATCCTCTTCCTCCTCCTAGAGGCCTCCTGAGTAGCCGAGCTTGCTACCTCCACCGCGGTCCTAAGCCTCTCATGGTGGTCCCGGACCCAGTCGTCCAGATTGTCCGCCTCTGGTTCCCTCATGTCTTTCCCTCCCAGGAGGTCCAAGGGCATTCTGGCATCCCTCCCGAACAGGAGGTAGAAGGGCGCATAACCCGTGGAGGAGTGCTCACGAGAGTTATAAGCCATAACCAACTCTGGCAAGTATGTTTTCCAATCCCGTTTCTTCTCTGGTGGCAGTGTCCTGAGCATGTCGTGCATGGTCCTATTAAACCTCTCACACTGCGCGTTCCCCTGCGGATGGTAAGGGCTGGTGCGACTCTTGGCAATCCCGTAGGCCCTGCACAGCTCTTTTATCACACTAGCCTCGAAGCTCCTCCCCTGATCGGAGTGCAACCGGGCCGGGCACCCGTAATAGGTAAACCAATGTTTCAGCAAAGCATTTGCTGTCGTCTCAGCAGTTTGGTTTCTGGTGGGGACGGCAACGGTGAACCTGGTGAACATGTCTGTAAGGACAAGGACATTTTCGTAACCCCCACAAGACTTTTCTAGCACCGTATAGTCCATAGCGAGGACCTCCAGGGGTGCGGTGACATTGCTGCAGGTCATGGGGGCCCTGTGGTTGGGGAAGACATCCTTTGCCAATGCGCACCTCCTGCATTGCTGAACCCAATCTTGAACATCTCTACTCATGGTAGGCCAGTAATAGCTCCTTCTCATCACCGCGAGGGTGCTCTTTGCACTGAAATGCCCCCCATGCTCATGCTGGTTCTCGTATACCTTACGTTGTAAGGTCTCTGGACAATGAGCTGCCTGATCTCCTCCCCATCACGAGGGTCACTGACATGCCTATACAGCACACCCTTATAAAGCCTAAGGCGGTCGAGCTGTTGGTGAAGCCGCCTCGCGTCCGGTGTTAACGCGTGGAGCTCGGCATGGCTCATCTCCGTGCCCCTCTCAACCACCCGATACACGGGCCCGACGACCGGGTCGCTTTTCTGAGCCCCTTCGACCTCCTCCCAGCTGTGCCCACCGAGAGCTTTCCCAGCGGTCGCTTGTACTCTGGCTTTCAGATCAGCCCTACCATCCTTCTCCAACCTAGCGGGCCACAGACACGCACGCACTTCTTCCGGGCCCACTTTGATAAAGTCCTTGCCTGTGTCCTCCTGCTCGGGTTCCTCTTGGTCGGGGATTCTGGAGAGGACGTCTGCATTTGTATTTTGTCGCCCAGGCTTGTAACACACCTCAAAGTCATACTCAGCGAGTTGTGCTACCCACCGCTGTTCGACAGCCCCCAGGTTAGCCGTTGCCAGGTAGCGCAGCGGGTTATGGTCCGTGACTACTGTGAATCTGGCGTACATCAGGTAGTCCCTGAATTTCTCTGTGACAGCCCATTTAAGCGCCAGAAGTTCCAGTTTAAATGCGCTGTAGTTCTTGTCATTCTTCTCGGAGCCTCTCAGCCCCCGACTCGCGTAGGCTACCACACGCTCTACGCCCTCCTGTTTTTGACTGAGCACAGCCCCGAGTCCGTGCAGACTCCCATCTGTGGTCAATATGAAGGGTAGGCCAAAGTTGGGATATGCCAGGATTGGAGGGGACACCAGGCATCGTTTCAGCTCGTCCAGGGCCTCCTGGCACTCGCCGGTCCAAACAAACGCCTGGGTGCCCCTCGACGTGTTTTTCAACCCTTTCCCAACCAGGGCATGCAGAGGCTTGGCCAACTGTGCAAACCTTGGCACAAACCGCCTGTAGTAGCTCATGAATCCAAGCACCTGCCTCACCTCTCGCACGCTCCTTGGAGCCGGCCATGTCTCCAGGGCCTTGACCTTTTCTAGATCTACCTGGACGCCTTTAGCAGAAATCACGTGGCCAAGGAATTTAACCTCCGGCCGCAGAAGGAAGCATTTGGTCGGCTTCAACTTCAACCCGTGCTGCTTCAAACGTTCGAACACCGTCTCAAGCCTCTCGCAGTGACTATCAAAGTCCCGGGAGAAGACTATAATGTCATCCAGGTAGACAAGGAGTATATCAAAACTGAGGTCCCCCAGTACCATACCCATCAGCCGCTGAAAAGTGGCTGGGGCGTTGCACAAGCCAAATGGCATCCGAGTCCATTCAAACAGGCCAAATGGTGTTGTAACCGCCGTTTTTCCCCTGTCCGTTTCGCTCATGGCCACTTGGAAGTAGCCTGCGGTCAGGTCCAGGGTCGAGAATAACAGCGCATTGCCGAGCGCATCCAACGACTCTTCGATGCGGGGAAGTGGGTAGGCATCTTTGCACGTCACTTCGTTCAGCCGCCTGTAATCGCAGCAGAATCGAACACTCCCATCTTTCTTAATAACCACCACCGCAGGTGAGGCCCAAGGACTGGAGCTCTCTTTAAGGATCCCCTGGCTAACGAGCTCCTGAACATGCCTCTTAAACTCTTGAAAGACATGGGGTGGGACCCTTCGGTGCCTCTGTTTGATTGGGGGTGCCTCGGTGGGGATACTGTGTGTCACCGTGGTGGTGTAGCCGTAATCAACTTCGCTTGCCGAGAATACGTCTTGGTGTTGGGCTAACAGCCGACAAAGCTTTTGACGCTGTAGCTCAGTGAGGTCCCGGGTGTTAGCCTGTACAGGGACCGGCAACTGCCCAACCTCGCCCCCTGTTGCTATACTCTCACCCTGACCCAGCGGCTTAACCACGAGTGCCCCCTCTCTCTCCTCTACCCATACAACCTCTTTGGGGAGCACAGCTCGTGGTTTGCTTACAACGGCAAGCCTGGCTCTTGGCATCAGCTTGACAGCCCTCTCGCTTGTGTTCATCACTCTGAGAGGGATTCTTCCACCACTGGTTGTCGCAATAGTGTTGGCAACTAACAGTCCCCGCGGCAGCTCTATCTCTTTTGCCGCCTCTGCCAGCACTTGGCACTCAACCCTAGGTGAGACCCCGCAACGACCCTCCACCACTTTCTCGCTCCTCGGGGGATGATGACGGGTTCCCTGCCAGCCACCTTGACGAACCCGATTTTGCCACCCGGACCCGTGCGCGGGAACTCCTTCCTCGCTCGGGCTATCAACCGACGGATGGTGGCCTCTGTCTTGTCTGGAGCGTGGGGGTCCATGTGGACGCGACCCCCATCTGCGATAAAGAGCGCTTCGAGGTCTTCTATAACATTCATCCCCACAATCCCTGGGAGCCCATTAGCTTTGTCTACCTGGGGGTGAGTATCGGTGAGTACAAAAATGCACTTCTTACCAACCACTCTCCCGGCGCATTCAACCTCGGCCTCCAAGCAGCCCAAGACAGGAATATTGAGCCCGTTTGCGGCTGTGAGCTCAATCCAGTCTGCTGACTTCAACTCCTGTGGCCCAAAACACCTACGGAAATGGGACTCCGTAATAGCTGTCACATTTGACCCCGTGTCCCAGAGGCAGGTGGTGTCTACCCCCCCTATCTTAAGGTGGACGGTGCGACACCTCCCAAGAGCACTCCTTTGGAGGCTCTCCTCCACCTCAGTCAGAAGACACTCGGCTGCTTGGCGGCCTATGGCCGGTGTGGTGGGGTGTTTCTTGGCCCCACCCTTGGCGTTTGGATTGCCAGAAAATGCCACCTGCGCCAGGTCTATTGGGATAGGGGCCAGAGCCCCTGCGTCTAGCTTTTTGGTACAATGCCGGCTAGTGTGGCCAGGCTCTCCACAGCTGTAGCAAATATATCGCCCTTCGCTGTCCCTCAGGGGTGTTCGCCTGCGCTGTGCACTCTGCTGGCTGCTCCCTCTTTCCCTGCTCTGTAGTGCTAAGTACAGCTCTTCTTGACGAGCAGCTAGTTTTCTAACCTCCTCGTGGAGCATCTCCAGGGTGAGGGGGGATGGTTTATCTTCGGCCGGTACTGCAGCGTTCACCGCACCTCTAGTTCTGAGCCTACTTTGGGAGGCGAGAGAGGACTGGGCTTCTTCTTCCTCGGACCAGTCAACTGCGGCTTGCAGCAGCCCGATGAAGGTTAGGCCTTTCTCCTCTTTGACCCTCCTTTTCATCTCTCGCCTCAAAAGGTCATCTCGCAAACCCAGCACTAGCTGTTCTTTCAACACCGTCTCTGAGTCGGGAACGCGGTTGGGTTCTCGCCTCTTAATCAAAGCCAGCTTCTCCTGTAGGTCATAGGCATAAGTTCTGACCGTCTCGCTGGACATTTGCCTTCTCTCATAGAACTCCTTCAACCTAGTACCTATGGGGACCTTGTCTCCATAGGTTTGAAGGAGAACCTCAAATATGCCCTCGACAGACTCTACTGCCCCATCCAACATGAACTTAACAGTTGCCCTGGCTTCATCTTTTATGTGTTGCTTGACCAGCTCAACACGGTCCGCCTCTGGCACCTTCATGACTTGGAACGCAGACCGCATTGCCGCGATCCACTCTTCCACACAATCATCTCCACTCTTTCCAGGGCAACCACTAAAATCTGCCAGTTTGCGGTCTCGGTGGACATAGATTGCCGCCGGGGCTTTTAAAGCTTGGGCCTGTTGATCAATCACTGCCCTTGCGAGAGAAAGAGCTTCTCTCTGTTCTTCTCGTGCCTGCTGTAAGGCACCCGCCTGCTCCACAAGCCTCCCTTGTAGTTCATCAAAGCTCCTTTTCAAATCTTCTAGTTCAGACATGTTTGCCTTAACTCTATTCCTCCTCTATAACGACCCCGAGCCAATGAGTGAATCCTGTTCGTGACGCCAATTGTGAGGGGCTACTAGCCCTGCTATGTAGGGGTAGAAGGGCGCACAGGCTGCCTTGAACGACTAGCGGGTGGTGGGATCTAAGTCCGTACCCCCCTCTAGCGCGATTGACCCGGACACTTACTTCAGTAAGAATGGGGTTAGTTACCTGGCAACAGTAGGCACAAAAGGAGGACTCCAGGCCCGGACCTGCAATGATAGCAGCGCCTGCACACGGAATACTAGCACGGTCCCACTTAACTCCGTCGTCCTGTGCCTAACCAAATAACTCGGGTGCCCCTACTCCAAGGCAACCTGGGTCGGACAAAAGCATTCAACAACGACTTTTTAAACCACGTGGCTCTTTTTATTTATCTGGAGAGCCCCCCAAAAAACCAAACTTGGTTAACAATGTCCACAGGGCCCTGGAGAGCAAAGGGAAAACAGCAAGGAGCCTCCCCAGGACCAAAGAAATGAAAGAAATAAAATGAGGTAAAATAAATCAAAACAGACTGGTGAGACCCAGAGTTGGGAGTCCTCGACTCCACACAACCCACCCTAGTCACAGGAAAGACACTCACAACACAGCAGAACAGTAAAAGTTAACACAGCAAATATTCTGTCTAAAATGGTCGACACAGTCTCATCACATCACTTATAATGTCCGACACACCAAAGGAACATTTTCAGTCTTTACAGTTCACTCCAGTAAATTGTCTCTGGGGTGGGACGGACAGATAGTTCTAGGGGTATGTGTCATTAACCGGAGTTGCAGTCTGTTAGGCTGTCCAGAACTTCCACAGCCGGAATAGAATGTTCATTCTCTGGTCCACATCAAAGCAAGGAAATAAAACACAGAAACTGTACCTTTGCCCCTCCTGAAATGGAGCGTAATGAACCCACGGGTAGGTGAAACTTTTACACA